AAGAAAGAAAGAAAGAAAGAAAGAAAGAAAGAAAGAAAGAAAGAAAGAAAGAAAGAAAGGAAGGAAGGAAGGAAGGAAGGAAGGAAGGAAGGAAGGAAAGGAGGAAGGAAGGGAGGAAGGAAGGGAGGAAGGAAGGGAGGAAGGAAGGAAGGGAAGAAGGGAGGAGAAAATAATAAAATGTACAATGTCTTCAGGCAAGGAGAAGAGGACCTGTATGGTACCTATCACTTCTAAAGAGAAGAAAGCTAGCCCCTGGTAAATGACTGCTGACTATGACACTGCAAGTCACCTCACAATGGTTGGTAACTTCATCTGACTATATTTGATACTTCTCCTTTCCGGGGTTCCAGACCACAAAGCAAACTTTTTTTTTTTCTTGTCAGTCCAGGGGACTGAATTCGAGGCCTGGGTGCGGTCGCTAAGCTTTTGCTCAAAGCTAGCATTCTACCACTTTAGCCACAGCGACACTTTCAGCTTTTTCTGTTTATGTGGTATTGAGGAATGGAACCCAGGGCTTCACGCATACCAGGCAAGCACTCTACCACTAAGCAACATTCCCAGACCCACAAACTTCTTAATGTGATTTAGTTTCCCACACAGCAATATTCTTCAAGAATCTTAGTTCAAGATAATCTCTCATTTCAGGACTATACCCCAGATAGAACATTTATACCCACTTAAGACTCCAAAAGGGCCAGGGAAACCAACAGTGAGCACTGGCCCTCCACTGAGAAGCACTGCTATAGTTACTACATCATTTCCATTTTATTGCTTCTTTTGGAAATTCAATATACTGGGGCTTTGGGTTATGTTCTTTCAGATATTAATGATTGAAGAGTTATGAATTGGTAAGCAGCAACTGAAATTTAAGCTCTAATAACGAGCCCAAGGTAATGTTCCTCTCAATCCCTGCTTGGAAAGCCACGAGGCATTCCTCCAACAAGGGCTCTTAAACATGTGCGTAGTTTCAAACCACAATATTTTCCAAATATCCCACTAAATTTTTGTAGCAGGTTCTTTCTAAAACCCTTCCCAAAGCATGATTGGGTTGTTCTTCAAACAACATCATACCTCATAACATTCACAGTAGTTTTTAAGGCATCCTGACCGTTTGCAGTTGCACCCCTTGCTATGCCGTCGATCTGATTCTCCTTCCTTTCCTTTCCCTATCTTTGGTTTAAAGGCTTCTGGATTTCGGTCAAGGCATGCCTATCAAAACAGATCAAATAGAAGTGGAAGTTGAATCAGATTAAGCACCGCAAATGGAACTAATATTTTTCATGGTAAGACAACTGAATCCTTAAAAAAAAAAGGTAAAATGAGATTTTTTTGTCTGCTAAATGAAAAAAAAAAATCACCTTTATTGCTTTTTGCCTTTCATTTTCATGTTCCAAATTGTTGTAACAATTGGTACAATTGCAGTTGTTGCAAAATTCACCATTGGCAAAGCAATCACAATATCTGGAAGATAAAATGAGTGTAAATTTAAAAAGTCATTAGTAAATAAAAACAGTAATTATTTGATCCTATAGAGTCCTGTGTCTTATGTGTATCACATTACATATAGTACACCTCAGAAATATACTCAGAGCCTAGATACAGAGTTAAAACATACAGGCAACCACAAACTAGAGCTCAAAATTTTACTTAACAACTCTTAGAATTTCAACCTTAAAATCTAATCCAATAAATATGCCAACACATGAATTACATGACTCTATGAGTCCCAAGTAAGTTGTTTCAAAATTTTGGAGAAAATAAATGACTACATTTTGTTGATGTCATCTACTCACTCACTTAAGCTATTGTGCTTTGGGATTCTAAGCTCTACAGCTTTGCATGGAACTGTCATATCAGATCTGTTAATTTAATTCAAATAAGCAAATTAATCATTCAATGATCCTCCAAACCACCCCAAGGTCACAGTTCATGGAGGACACCAAATACCAAGGTTCTAAACATGATCTATTTATTCCAATGAAAAACATAAACTACTTATAACTCATATTGTGTTATCATATATATAATACATTATTTCTTTTTGAACCAATGAAAGGATATTTAAGTGCTATTCTCAAACGTTTACCTGTATGCTTATTAAAAATACTTTCACTTGTAAAATTAATTTATTAAGAATTTCTAATTAGTTACATTTAGTCCTGAGACTATTTCTGATTGTATCAAGTAAGCAAATAACAGCAAAAACCACTTACAATTTCAAACACAGAGATTTTGTACAATTGCAGGGCTTCCTGGGCCGACTGGCAGACTCTGATGGGATTATGCTACTCAAACATAAATAAAGACAAACATGTCAATAAACTTAACATAATTATTTAAAACTAAAAAACGTTACCCTCTACAAATTTCTGCCAAAAGTAAACTTCACAAATGTATCTATCTTTAATGGAATTTTTTATATGTTCCATTTACTTTTTTTTTTCTTGGCCAGTCTTGGGGTTTAAACTCAGGGCCTAGGTACTGTCCCTAAGCTTTAGTGCTCAAGGCTAATATGCTACCACTTGAGCTGCAGCACCACTTCCAGCTTTTTCTGAATAGTTTATTGGAGATAAGAGTCTCACAGACTTTCCTGCCTGGGCTGATTTCCAACAGTGATCCTTAGATCTCAGTCTCCTGAGGAGCTAGGATTATAGGCATGAGCCACCAATGCTTGGCTCCATTTACATTTTTTTAGGGCGGGGGGAATCTGTCATGGGCCTGAACTCTGGGCCTGGGAGCTGTCCCTCAGCTCTTCAGCTCAAGGCTAGCACTCTACCACTTGAGCCACAGAGCCACTTCCAGCTTTTTTTTTTTTTCCTGCTTATGTGGTAGTGAGGAATCAAACCCAGGGCCTCATGCATGCAAGGCAAGTGCTCTACCACTGAGCCACCTTCCCAGCCCCTCCATTTACATTTTTTAAAGAAGTGATCAGTAGGCTCTATAATAGTCTTCCTTTGGGGGCTGGGAAGGTGGCTCAGTGGTAGAGCACTTGCCTTGCATGCCTGAGGTCCTGGGTTTGATTCCTCAACACCACATAAGCAAAAAGAAAAAAGCCGGAAGTGGCGCTGTGGCTCAAATGGTAGAGTGCTAGCCTTGAGCTGAAGAGCTGAGGCCCAGCGCCCAGGCCCAGAGTTCAGGCCCCATGACTGGACCCAAAAAAAAAAAAAAAAAAAAGTCTTCCTTTGGCAAAAAAGAGGTTAAAAACAGCTCAAAACTCTTGAGATTCAATTATAAAAGCTAGTAAAGTGAAAAGGGGTATGCAGAAGAGGCATGAGGGCTTTCTGTAGTTAACTGAAGCACAGCTTCTAAATTGATAATGCAAAGACAGCAATTAACAGATAAAGAACAGTAACAAAACCCAACATAAAAAAAAAAATAGGGGGATGGGAAGGTGGCTCAGTGGTAGACTGCTTGCCTTGCGTGCATGAGGCCCTGGGTTCAATTCCTCAGCACCACATAAGCAAAAAGAAAAAAGCCGGAAGTGGCGCTGTGGCTCAAGTGGTAGAGCGCTAGCCTTGAGCTGAAGAGCTGAAGGACAGCACTCAGGCCCAGAGTTCAGGCCCCATGACCGGACCCCCAAAAAAAAAAAATAGTTAAGGGAGGGAGGAGTAAGGGGACAAATGGTTCAAAGACTTATCTGAGTAAAGGGTGCATGGGTTTTAACCATTTCTATCACATATCTGTTTCAAGTATTTCAAAATAAGTATTTTAGAGGAATGCTAACATAGCTTTAAGGGGATAATCAAATAGGCTATAGTATGGAATGAATATTTAATGTTGTACTGATTCAACAATTTAACTTACACGTTTTTAAAATACGCACCCATTGAATGGAAGCCTTGCCTGAGTCTGGATGCCAGATGTTCCAGTGAAGTTAGAGTTGCTTGCTATAGACACATACGAAGACTGCTGTAGCTGTTAAGAAAGATAAATTTAAGTCATACTTGCAAAAATACTTTCAGATACAATGATTAAGGAGAACAAAAAAATCCAATTACCAAAATAAGAAGAAAAAAATGGAGAGTTTCATACAAACATTACCTCATAAAGCTTTTCTAAGGACTCTGATCAACACCAAGGTGAAATAAATTGAATGCTTTGCAATACTAAATGCTTTAGAGATGTTGAATATACCACAAGTACTAGAATAGCCTCCATGAGCTAGAAAATATTCCTGGCCAGGTGCCGGTGGCTCAGGCCTGTAATCCTAGCTACTCAGGAGGCTAGATCTGAGGATCATAGTTCAAAGACAGCCTGAGCAGGACAGTGCATGAGACTCTTATCTCCAATTAACCACAAGAAAACCCAGAAGTGGTACTGTGACTCAAGTGGTAGAGTACTTGCCTTGAGCTGAAGAGCTTGGGATAGCACCCAGGCCCAGAGTTCAAGCCTCCCAACTGACAAAAAAAAAAAAGGACACTCTATGAATTAATCATCATATTACCAATCAGAGAATGAGAAGTTTGGGGAAGAGTTGTTTCAATTTTACACTAATTTCTAAATATAACAAATGCTAATGATAAAAACAATGAACAATCTCATCCCTTGATCATTCTCCCTAGAACCTTGGCTCCTTCCTAAATCAATTTCAACAGGTTTCACTGCTGAACAGTAATTTTTTTTTTTTTGGTCGGTTGTGGATGCTGTCTCTCAGCTCTTCAGCTCAGCCATAGCGCCACTTCCGGCTTTTTCTGCTTATGTGGTGCTGAGGAATCGAACCCAGGGCCTCATGCATTCTAGGCAAGCACTCAACCACTGAGCCACCTTCCAGCCCCTGAACAGTAATTTTTAATCTAACTAAACATTTTTTTTTTTGGTTGGTCATGGGGCTCGAACTCTGGGCCTGGGCACTGTCCCTCAGCTCTTCAGCTCAAGGTGAGTACACTATCACCTGAGCCACTGCACCACTTCTGGTTTTCTAGTGGCTTTGAACTGCAACCCTCAGATCTCAGCCTCCTAAGTAGATAGGATTACAGGCGTGAGCCACCAGCTCCCTGCTAACTATACATTTTGTTAAAGTAACCTAGGGAGTTGTTAATTTACTTTTTGGTTGTTGTTTTTGGTCGTGGGGCTTGAACCCTGTCCCTTAGCTCTTCAGCTCCAGGCTAGCACTGCATCACTTGAGCCACAGAACCACTTCCAATTTTTCTGGCGGTTTATTGGAGATAAGAGGCTCATGGACTTTCCTGCCCAGGCTGGCTTTGAACCATGATCCTCATACCTCAGCCTTCTGAGTAGCTGAGCGTGAGCCATGGGCATCCAGCTTGTTAGGGAGTGTTTGTGCTTCCTTTTCCTCACTTATAAGCAGAGTTCATCAATTCAACAATCTAGAATCCAGAAACAAAGTGATAATTTGCTGAATCCTTCCATGAAAACCTCCTGCTTCAGGGAAATCACAGTCCTAGGCCCATCTAGCCTACATGGCTTCCATTCGAAAGATAACAAGATGATGATAATGGATAATCACTGATTATGTCTCTTGGAAACGTTGCTTACTGAAGTTCTTTTTTTTTTTTAGTGGTCATGGGTCTTGAACTCTGGACCTGGGCACTGTCCCTCAGCTTTTCAGCTCAGGCGAGTGCTCTACCACTTGAGCCACAGCACCACTTCCAATTTTCTGGTGGTTTATTAGAGATAAGAGTCTCACTTTCCTGTCTGGGCTGGCTTTGAACCATGATCCTCAGATATCAGCCTCCTGAGTAGCTTGGATTACAGGCGTGAGGCACCAGCACCAGCATTGAAGTTATTTTTTAAGCACCAGTCAGTGGAGTCATATGTATGTATAAGGAAGACAACTATAGTGAGTCTTTTCCAGTCATTGGAACCTTGCTGACTTTAACTTCATCTTTACTTTTTTGTTTGTGTGCCAGTATTAAGGCTTGAACTCAGGGCATAGGCATAGTTTCTCAGATTTTTTACTCAAGGATGATGCTCTACTATTAGCCACAACTCCACTTCTGGCTTTTTTTTTTTGGGGGGGGGAGAACGGGCTGGTTAACTAGCAATAAGAATCTCATGAACTTTTCTGCCTGGGCTGGCTTCAAACTTTCATTCTCAGATCTCAGCTAGGATTTTAAGCAAGAGCCATTGGTGCCTAGCTAACTTCAACTTTTTGCCCTACCTTCACATAGTTTTGCTCTCCTGCCAAACTGCTCCAAATTGTGCTCTTTATTTCTAAATGTTGAAGATACACAGAAACAAAGCAAATGTTTTAGCTATCATTTCAGGATTTTTAGAAACACCAAGTTTCATACCAAGTTCTATTTTCTTTTTTAGCAGCTCCAGAATATGCTAACTAGTGCTAGGCATCTCATAGACAATTAGCCTTTTGAAAGTCAATGACTTGGTTTTCAACACACCTGAGTAACATACTGTGCTGGAAGCACTGCATAACCCACGTTTCCTGTTCCTGGAGCTGGAGCCAGGACGGTACCCGGGGGTAGGTTAGTGAGGTTGGGCTGGATCTGTGGCAGTGGTGTGGCAGGCATGATAAGCCGTTGCTGTGGCTGGCTGGTAGTTACTATTTGAGAAGTTGGATTGATTGGTTTTGGAACAACCTAAAGAAAAGGAAATATAGATGAATAATCGCAAAATTAGTTTTGTAGCTATGTAAGTCAGTAGAAATCTCTTGAGATTTGAGAATCATGTGACACTCACCTGTTTGACAGTCTGAGCTGGGACAAATGGAACTGACATCCGTACTGGTGTTGTATTAACCACCACTGGCTTAGCTTTTTAAAAGAAAAAAGATGAACAACTTGTTTATAGAAAACAATACTCAAAACTTTTATCTCAAGTTGCTCTTATGAAAAAAGGCATTTGTTTCTAATTTTGACTAATCTTTGATTAGGATAGTTACCTTTCAAAATTATTTACCCCATCTACCAGAAAACTTATACAATCTACATATTTTATGAGGAAATATTTACAGGTTTGAGGAATTTTATTGAGGTGTGTATACATTCGGCATTAAGTCTAGTCAAAGGAAATTTAGAAAATGAAAAAAGAACTTATATGCCTGAGCCTAAAGAATAACACTGTTTCACCCTACTACTTGTAACTGCTGTTTATGTTCACACCAGAGAAAAACGCACTCATGTACAATTCAATATTTATAGAAAAAAATTAAAAGGCAGCATAGCATATTAATATGGATTCCAAAAATCTTAAAACTGTGGATTCAAACCCTAGTTCTTCATGCTTGTTCCTTCCTCCTCCTCTTCTCCTCTCCTTTCCTTCCCTTCTTCTACCTCCCCTTCTTCCCCCTCCCTCCTTTTTTCTCTCCTTTCATTATCTTGGGGGTGGTAATGGGGTTTCTTTTTTTCTTTTTTGGTGAGGGGGAGGTATAGGGATTTGAACTCAGTGCCTTGAGATTCTTAAACACACACTCTTATCACTTGAGCCAGGCCCTTAGCCCCCAGCTTGGCTTTCTTTCTTTCTTAAAAATTCTATTATTATTTGCTTGGACAGAGGGATTACATTTCGATAAGTCAGGTAATGAGTACAATTCTTAGACAATACCATCCCTTCTTTCACTTTCCCCCAGTTTCTCTCTCCTGTCCCTGTCCACAAGCTGCACTGTTATTTCCCACATAGAGTATAAAGAATACCATGACTATATTTGTTCACCCTTCCTCCCTCCATTTCTGTGCCTCCCTTTTGCCCACCCTAAAAAGACAACAACCCAAAACAAAAACAAATAACAAAAAAAAATCTATTTCCATTTCCTGGAACTTGTTTTGATAAATAATATTTTAGATCTTCAGAAGAATTATACCTTTGGGTTCATCCTGTAACAGTATCCTCTTTTAGTCTGTTTGTGTGTAAATGCCTAGAGCCCTGTATAAGCTATCATCTCCAGTTGTATTTTAGATCTAGCTTCCACATGAGAAAAAATGTGTAGTTTGTCTTACCTCACTTAACATGTATTTTCCTAAAAATTATATGGTATTATTCTTTCTAATCTGTGTAAAATTCCATGTGTATAGGTAACACATTTTTTTGGATCCACTCATCTATTGTAGGGCATCTGGTCTGTTTCCATAACTTGACTACTGTGAATAATATAGCAATAAACATGGATACGCAAATGTCTTTACTATATCCTGACTTGTAATGATCTGGGCACATGCTCAAGGGTGATATGGCTGGGTCATAGGGAACTTCTATGTTTAGTTTTTTTGTTTGTTTTTTTTTTTTGTGCCAGTCATGAAGCTTGAACTCTGGGCCTGGGTGCTGTCCCTGACTCCTTTTGTTCAAGGCTAGCACTCTGCCACTTGAGCCACAGTGCCACTTCAGGCTTTTTCTGAGATTAATTGGAGATAAGAGTCTCACAGGGGCTAGAAATGTGGTTTGGTGGTAGAACGCTTGCCTAGCATGCATGAAGCCCTGGGATGGAGCCCTCAGTACCACATAAACAGAAGTAGAAAGTGGTGTTACGGCTCAAGTGGTAGAGTACTACCCTTAGCCAAAGAACCTCAGGCACAGTGCCCAAGCCCTGAGTTCAAGCCCCAGGACTGGAAATAAAAAGTCTCACAGACTCTCCTACCAATGCTGGCTTGGAACCATGATTCTCAGACTTCTGCCTCCTGAGAAGGTAGGATTACAGGCATGAGCCATGGGTGCCCGACTTCTGTTTAGTTTTTTGAGGAATTTCCAAACCACTTTCCAGAGTGGTTGTACTATTTTACATACTCACCAACAGAACAAAGTAGGGTTCCTTTTTGCCCAGCATCCTTGCCGGTATTTGTTGTTGTTCAACTTCATAATGTTGGCCAATCTAACTGGGGTGATATGGAATCTCAGAGTTGTTTTGATTTGCATTACCTTTATGGCCAGGGATGTTGAGCATTTCCTCCTATGTTTCTTTGCCATTCTTACCTCTTCTTCCCTGAGAAGTCTCTCCTTAGCAATGCCCATTTATTGATTGGTTTACTAATTTTATTTTTTTTGGGGGGGAAGGGGAGTGTCCTACTTTCTAACTACTTAAACCTTTTAGCCTGTACCCTCATCTGCAATATGGGGAGTATGAACCTTATATAAAGGGTTATGCACATTAATTTGTGAAAATTGATTAGAATAGTACCCAACCAGATAGTAAGTGCTCAATAAATGTCAGTTGCCATTATTGTTACTGTTAGTATTCCAAACATTATTAAATAAATGGCACTGTGACCAGTGTTCCTGGAAAACAAATAATAAGACACCTGCTCTCAAGTTTATATTCTAGTAGATCAGATTAAGCAAGAGGCCACATATATGAAATATTATTAAAGAAGCTAACTGCTATGGGATTTCAAAAGAGAATATCCACCTTACTGGCAGAGGATGGGAATGCAGAAAGAGGGCATGTGGGCTGCAGCAGGGCATTCTGTGCACATAGGCAAGCCATAATGCATATTCATAACACGTTCATGAACGGACACTTTGGCTAGGATCTAGAGTTTGTATCTACTCAAACACAAGGACTCTGAATGCTAAAATAGGTATCTGTATACTTCATCTATAGTTTTAACTCTATAGCCAATGAGAAGTGTCTGAGGATTTTTTTTCCCCAGTCCTGGGGCTTGAACACGGGGCTTGGGCACTGTGCCTAAGGTTCTTTTGCTCAAGGCTAGCACTCTACCACTTGAGCCACAGTGCCATTTCCGGCTTTTTCTGTTTATGTGGTACTTAGGAATCGTACCCAGGACTTCATGCATGCTAGGCAAGCAATCTACCACTAAGCCACATCCCCAGCCCCAAAACTAAAGGTCTCCTTTACTCTCTTTTTTGGTGTGTGTCAGTTGTGGGGCATGAACTTGGGGCCTGCACACTGTCCCTAAGACTCTATGTTCAAGGGTAGCACTCTACCACTTGGGCCACAGCACCACTCTAAGCATATTTAAGTACAGAACTATTACTGGAACAATACTGAAATTACTGGAACAATACTGAAAGCTGTGTTTGGCCACAGTATATAAACACAATCAACTTCAAGGAATAAGATAAGGCAGCTGGGCGCTGGTGGCTCACGCCTGTAATCCTAGCTACTCAGGAGGCTGAGATCTGAGAATCACAGTTCAAAGCCAGCCCAGGCAGGAAAGACCCTGAGACTCCCACCTCCAATAAAACACCAGAAAACTGGATGTGGCACTATAGCTCAAGTGGTAGTGTACTCACCTTGAGCTGAAGAGCTGAGGGACAACGCCCAGAGTTCAAGGCCCACACTGACTGCGGGTGGGGAGAGGGTGGGGGAGATAAGGCAGAAGAGCTTACGAGATGAGCACCAAGGGTAACTACACTAAGAGTGGAAGTGCAGACCTGGTGAAAGTGAAATGAATGAGATGGAACCACTAAACAGTAAGAATTGTGTTATAGGGTCTGGGAAGGTGGCTCAGTGGTAGAACGCTTGCCTTGCATGCCTGAGGCCCTGGGTTCGATTCCTCAGCACCACATAAGAAAAAAGAAAAAAGCCGGAAGTGGCGCTGTGGCTCAAGTGGTAGAGCACTAGCCTTGAGCTGAAGAGCTGAGGGACAGCGCCCAGGCCCAGAATTCAGGCCCCAGGACTGGACCCAAAAAAAAAAAAAAAAAGGATTGTGTTATAGACCTCACACACAAACACACACACACGAGCCTGCATGCATGCCTATGCAGGAACATGCGTGTGTGTACCCCTAGAAAACTCAGGTATCCAAGTTTACATGAGTAAACTAAGTTTACACTGAGTTTATTTTAATAGTTCTGCTGGGGACTAAACCCAGAGTCTTCAACATGCTAGGAACAAACAAGTGATCTACCACTTTGTTAATTGTCCCCCCTCCTTGATTTTTTTTTTTTGTTGGTCATAGGGCTTGAACTCTGGGCCTGAGCACTGCTCAAGGTGAACACTCCACCACTTCAGCTATAGTGCCACTTCCTGTTTTGTGGTGGTTTATTGAAGATAAGAGTTTCATGGATGGGCTGGGAAGGTGGCTCAGTGGTGGAGCGCTTGCCTTGCATGCATGAGGCCCTAGGTTCCATTCCTCAGCACCACATAAGCAAAAAGAAAAAAGCCAGAAGTGGCGCTGTGACTCAAGTGGTAGAGTGCTAGCCTTGATCTGAAGAGCTGAGGGAAAGTGCCCAGGCCCAGAGTTCAGGTCCCATGACCAGACACACCCCCCCTCCCCCAAAAAAAGAGTTTCACAGACTTTCCTGCCCAGGCTGGCTTTGAACCAGGATCCTCAGATCTCAGCCTCCTGAGTAGCTAGGATTAGAGGCATGAGCCACCAACACCCGGCTCCTCCTTGTTTTTTTGAAACAAGGTCTCAGTATGTAACTCATGGTGGCCTAGAATTCACAATCCTCCTGCCTTTGCCTGCCTGGCCATGCCTGTGTTTAATGATTGAGAAGGAAGACTAAATGAAATGAAGTGGTCAGAAAACAGACACTATATAATACCCAAGATGGAGAGAGTATAAATATTACTGAGTTAATTTCTTTTATACTATTCCTCATTTCATTACCAATAGTGTTGAAATTTTCACAAAGGCCAATGCAATTTTCAATATTTTAGTCTTTAGAAAAGAACTAAAAATAATTCTTGAGACTGTTTTCACCTTTCTGGCAAGTGTTTGATGCTTTTACTTCCTAAAATTGATTTGTTACTTCAACAAGACAGCATATCATCCTGAAGCAGTCAGGTAAGCATACTTCACTGCCTGCAGGAGTCAGCAGCTAGTACTATTGGACCTTACAGTCAATGTTGTTTTTA